TAGCTGGAAGCTACTTTTAACTTTCCCCAAGTTGACGTCAAGCAGAATGGTTTATTGCCATCCCTTATTGAAAGTATTTTAGTTCTAGAAAACAGTTACTGTTCATCTCCCATCAGTGTTATATTGCTAAGGTGAACAGAGCTAATTCATTCAACCTTCCCTCACAGGTCCTGTTCCATAAATCTGTCCTCATTTGTGGTGTTCCCTCCTGCATTCTCTCCAGTTTGCAACCAACATTTCTGCAGTCCTCAGCTTACACTGGGACACAGTGCCCCAGTCCTGGCCTCCCCGGTGCCCAGGAGTGGGGTATCATTACCTTCCACGTCCAACATTTAATCTTCCTTTTAAATAGATGTTTTAATTAAAAGTACATTCCCCTCCGCCCTCTTCCCAACAACAAAGCTGATGCAGACTCAGCCTATGGTCTACTGCATCTCTGATATCCAACTTTTCTTTGTTCAATTGTTTTTAATTTAACTTAAAAATAGTACATTGCGCTTACTGGATTTCATCTTGCTAATACCATACACTTTCCCCAACTTATCAAAATCATATTTAATTTTAAACCCATTACCCATCATGCTCTCATCCCTTGCCAGCTCCACACCATCTGGATTAGCACAATATTTCCATTTTATCATTTAAATCATTAAATGAGACATTATCTCTCTGCTACAATTGACCCTCAGGATATCATTTGCAACATCTTCCCAGTACAAGGCAGGAAAAAGGTTCACAGGCCATAAGTCTATATCATGTTCCACTATTCAGTTTATGTCAATGTCTCACAGCACTGTGTCAGGAATCAATACATCACAAATCAGCAAATCAGGCACCCCATTAGGAAAAAGCTTTAGATTAGACCTGGTTCCTCATGGAACAATCTGAAGGCTTCAGCCACAGCCCACGGATGTCTGCAAGGAGTTTTAGAGTAAGAAAACTATCAGGTACTGCCATTATTGTTTTGCTCTCTGGAGTGATTTTGGTTTATTTGGTTGTTTGTGGTTCCTGGAGGCTCAACTCCTATTTTTTTCTGCTGTTGAATTCAGAAAACTGAAATATTCTTCTCACCTGGGACACAAAAGGAAAGCTCAACACAAAACTTCAGGTCTCCAGGAGCAGGAATTTCAGTCCTTATGGGACATCTCCCCTCCTGCTACCTCTGCAAAATCTTACTGCTTCTGTCAGTACCAACCCGTAGTTTTTGTTGCTACTGCATTGAGTTCAGCTGGTACCTTTCCACTTCTTGTCCATAAGTCTTTCCCGCTGAGTTTGTAATGTACACCTATGTCACCTATATGATTTTCGTATGTGAAGCACTCTCTGGCTTGTAATTTCTCCTAGCAATTCTCCTACGACCAGGATTAAAAAATCCAAAACACCTGAGTAATAATGCCCTGATCTTTCATCACTAAAGTCAGCAAGAGAAGGGAACTCTCTGGAGTACATCATGTATGTTGATATTGTCACTTTCAGAGACAGGTAACCAAACACTCATCCTGCAGCCTCTGTTTGTTGCACAAAGTGCAGGACAAAAAGATAAAAAAATGTCCAATCCAGGAAAAATTAGAAATCAGTGATCTTTACACAGTGATCACATTCATTCATTATGGGAACATAAAGATACTTAGTCTCTATCCTGCATCTGCCTGGGAAGTCTTCTGTCCATTCCTGTCTCCTTGCAGCCCTCTTCATTTCAGCACAGCCCCCAGACTCATTAGTTTGTCACAAAAGTGTGTGTCTATACTTCCCATCATTTTGATCCAATTATACTTTGGTGCGTAGATGAGAAGGATCAGCAGGAATTTAGTTCTAATTCTGTCACTTGTGACAGAACTGCTATTTACTGCATTGTGTGCACCAAGCAGCCTTGTTTTGTTGCAGTTCCTTTTTATGATGACCTGTTCTTTCATTTTTCTTTATGATCTGAAAGAAAATTGGCACTTGATATGTCTAAAATAAGTTCCATAATGGCAGTAAAACTGCCATTCATATTCAGTGTGCTGAAAATATCAGATAAATGGCAGGCTTGGCTCATGTTAACAAGATTTGCACTTCTTGTGTTCTTTTCATCTGTGACAAAATTCAGCAGTTACCAGCCATTAAGGCTGCATTGTGCAAGTAAAAAATGCAGACAGATATTCTGAGAGAATTTTAATCATATAATCACTGTACAAGACATTCAGATACTATATCCTCAGATTTTTTAATTTATTTTTTCCTCCTCTTAACAAAACATGCACACAGACAAAATCAAGAATTCTAAGAGACTACATTTTATTTATGTTCATCAAAACAGCTGTTCTGAAGATGGCAGGATTGATGCCATTATCAGGGACCACACCAACCAAAAAGGTCATATCCTAAGGCAGAGAAGAAAAGATACATTATGATGGGATGTTTTCAAACTCCAGACATCTACAAAAGATGTCAGAGGCCTTTAGAGCAGCAGGTGCCTGCACAAGCTGTTGCTGGATAAGTTGCTCTTGAATTTCTGGCATTCACAACAAAACCTGCCTGAAGTGAACATGCTCGTTGTCCCCCCTTGCAGTTATTGTTTCTAATTACCTGTCCGTTTAGACAGTGCAATGGTATTAAATACCAGAAATTCCTTTCCATGGACCTGGGGCATGGGGCAACAACCCACTGTTCCAGGGCACTGCACACGAGAACAAAACAGAATCTTCAAAAAACTCACACCATCCAAATACAGTGGGGCAGCTTCAGGAGGTCAGGAGAACCTATACCCAAGGCTGCCTAGCACATCTCCTCAGCTTCCCAGCTGCCTGCCTACCTACAAACTATTGAATTTTTTAATACTGCACCCATAAGAACCATAAGAAAGGAGAGAGGAGTGCAAGGTGAGTAGAAAAATGCCCTGTCTCCTACCAGCCAACTTCAGTCATGTAAGATTTTATCTTTACAAAGAGTAAGGCTTCATCTTTTCAATGATCCTGATAAGTCCCTTCCAACTCAGCATATTTTATGATTCTATAATCTCTGTTTTAACCAGTCTGACGCGGTATGGAAAACATGGAGGTGATATCCCTGGATGCACAATGAAGGGATGTAAATGAAAGCAGAAAGGCTCACGGCTTCATGTTGACTTCTCTTGTCCCACTCCAAGTTATCTATGGGTTTCTGGGCCTGCCAGCTCAAGATGGACTTATTTATGAAAAATGGATTTCAGAACATCTCAAATGAGAACACTTCTCATGGTAGCCATATCTGAAATACAAACCAAACAGAAAGTACTTTTGGCTTGGTGAAATATAAGAGGAAAAAAATAGAAACCTTTTCCTGAATTTTCAGGCCTCAGAAAACAGAAAGTCTAGAGACTTCTTGAAAAAAGCAAAACCAGAAAGCTCTGGAAATCCACAACTGAAAGTTTTTCTCAATAAGCAAAAAGACCCAACACTGGAAACCTCATAAGTTAGGCTATTTTTCATATCCTTTTCTGTTCAATGAAAAAACCTAAATAAGCTTCAGAAAATTCTTGATTTTCAGAGCTCTCAATCTCTTCCCCCAGAGGAAGAAATTCAGATATTAAAAAATTCTCAGAGAATAAGTAAATCCTGCAGCTTTTCTTCAAAGCATTTAAAAAGGCAGCCACTGTATCTATACTGAGAGACTTGGCCTACTCAGAAAGGCTTTCTAGCAAAGCTTTGTCTGTTTCCTGAGCCAAAATACGCAGCTTTCACAGCCTGACACCTGCAACAAAAGCAAGAAACAGATAATCTGTGTTATCAAAATTATGAGACAAATACCTACTAGGACTCAGAGGGACAGAAAACCAGAACAACTGAACCCTGGTTCTGCTGGTGAGTTTACTGGGTTTCAGGATTATAGGTGCTCTCCACCCTAAGATCTGAGTATTTATTAATCTTAACCGATCAATCATTACAACATCCTAATACTATCACAGGCAAGTATTATAAGACTCTGAGAAATTACAAGTAAAGTAGAAGTGATGAGAAATTCCTTTTCTGTTATGATTTCAGAAGTTATCTCTGTTGCCTGTGTTGACATGAGCAGTAAGACATGTTTTTCTTATGACTATATATTTTTTTTCCTGTCATAGCATTGCAGCATGTATTTATAGGACTGCTTTTACCCAATGGCATGGGTTACAGCAGGTGTTAGTTTCATCTTCATTTTCTTTAAACTGGATGATTTTTTACCATAAGGATTCCTCAGAAGTTCTGTTCACGTTATGACAAATGTCAGTGAACATCCATGAGTCACTGCTCATTTGCTCAGGCCAGTGGCCTCTGGCTGTCCCAACTCTTGACATATTAGCCACATGAAAATATATGTTCCCATTCCTAATGCATTTCTAGAAACACATCTCTGCCTGACTCTTCTGGCTAACAATCTCACATCTCATTCGGTAGCTTCATGAAAATCATGCGGAATGGCAGAAGGAAAGTTTTTCTTGTGGAAGGCGTATTTAAACCCTCCTCCTTAAGTCCAGAAAAAAAGCCCAAAGAAAGATAAAACTAGAAAATATTTACAAAAATGTATCTGAAAGGAACAGTATGACTTTGTTTGTGTTTATATCCAGACAGGTAAGAAAACAGAGGGGATAAACCTGTATATTAACTTATAATTTCATTAAAGATACAGAGACTCTGAAACAAGAGAAACAAGCTGTATAATATTTTTTCAGTCTCATTTTGTCTGAAACTCCTGGTTTAAGAATCAGGTTGAAAGAACACATGAAGCTCTAACTTGCATGAAAAGATGTGCTGTAAACTCACAGTCCAGTTTTTCCACTCAAGTCAAGCATGTGTAGGGCATTTATTTCAATAGACTCTAAATGCTTCTATTGTCTCTTTGCCTCAGCATGAAATCTGAGTAAACTGGCACACCAGTGGTTAGAAGTTACTGAATGTAACCAAAGCATCTGCCCTTAAAAGCTTACAGCAAATTCTGTCAGAAAACTTCCTAAAGCACCATGGCCTCAGTAGTATTAGATAAATTAGGTTGGCTGCATTTTATTAGGCTATTAGTTGGTGTTCACATAGCTCCCTGTAAATTCTTTTCTTCACTCGGGGCATATCTTCTTGGGAGAACTGAAAAGGCTGGTCTAAGGCAAGGCACTTGCAGTACTGGAGTACAAAAACTCCACAGTCACTGTCATTTTTCTTTTGTGGAATGCACTTTGTCACAGTAGTTTGCCAACTTTGAAGGAACTTGGGGTGATTCTTCTCCTTTGCTTCAGTCAGCAGATACTGTTGAATGTTTTCTATACAAAATTGAAAATTAATGTCTTGGGAATCATAAAATGAAATAGTTTGATTGGGGATGTTAACAGCAATGAGGGACCAGTGGACTTCCAGGTGAATAGGAATTAATAAGAGAGTCTTTTTGAATAAGTCCACCTTTTTAGTCTATCGTTTTACTCCATTATATCCTTTGGTTACGAGTTGTCCATGAAAAAACTGTTAAAGAAATGAACATTTTCAGGGACTGCATTCATGATGAGTTCACCATACATGTTAATTATCTGGTCATTTAGCCAGTTTTGGCCTTCCAGTGTAGTTAAATTATCCATATCCAGCATGTGTTTATTATAGGAGAATTGGAAATTGCAAGTGGAGGGTTTTGGATATTTTTCTTGGTATTTCATGATTTCCCTGGTGATAAAAGATTTTCTGTGGAAGAAATCTTCATTAAAGACTTCTTTTAATCTCTCTACGACATCTTTTTTACAGAGTGGTATTAAACTGCCATATTTCTTTATAAATTCATCTAGAAATTTACAAAGCCACCTTGCCAATTGCTCATCAGTTACTCGAGAAGTTTTCTGATTGTCCCTTTTGTCTCCCTTGTGAGTTTCTGATTTCAGTTCTATGTTTTCTGGTGAAGGCTCTTTGAGAGGATTTTTACAGTAAGGGTGATTTAGTAATATTGAACTAAAAATATTTAAGGAGTCTTTTATCTCTCTTTAGTTAGGGCTGTTTTCATTCTGTTTTGGCTCCATGGATAAGAGTCCATTTATATGATTGGATAAAATATATTTTTATCTCTTATATTTTTTTATTATTAAGTCACACAGCTTGGGATTTGAACAGTATTTCTAGTATTTCTCGTTCATTAGGATATCTTCCAGTCTGGATCTCATTTTCACAGGAACACTGTAAGTGCCAGTTGGTTCAGTTACATTCCCGAGGTTGTCACTGAAGGTGACGGAGCTGTTGGTGAAGTCGAGGCTGGTGGTGGTGCAGGACAGGTTTGCGTGGTGTGGCATTATGTTTTGGGTGTAGTTGTCCAGCACAGGCTCTTGTTTGATAACTGTGTTGATCATATCAGGGGAATAAAAGTTTGTAGATGGAGTAAGAGACAGTCCATATGCTTGAGCTTGCATCTCAAGTTTCTGTATTCTGAGCAGCAAGTGGTTGTTGGCATGTTCTAACTTCTTCAGATTGTTTTCTAGTTCTTTTGGTTCTTTTGTGCACTGCAGGTCTCTCTGCAGTTTATGGATGTAATCCACTGAGGCTTTTAGGATCGTTGTCTTATCCCAGCGTATATTTGGGTCATTTGATTTGGGTATCAAAGTGTGCAGTTCTTTTAAATTATTATTAATCTCAAATCTTCTTCTTCGTTCATTCAAGTTGTGGTTGTCTATCTTTTGTCTCTCTTTAATCAACGCTCTTGCTTCTGAGTCTGTGAGTTCCCTTTTTACATTAGGAAGATTAGCTGGACATGAGTTGCTGATGTTTAGTTCTGGAGGAGGCAGGCTTTGGTTGTCATGAAGGTCAATTAAATCACTAGACACAGACAACGTAATTGTCATTTCTAATGTAAGGATTCACAGTAATTTATAGGGCAGAATTCTGTCTCTCTGGACGCAAAAGAATGAAACTGGAGAACAATCACACCTCCTCAGATATAAGCAGTGTTATCCAGCTTTCAGCTTGCTTTAAACTAGGATCCCGCCCATAGGAGCATGCCAGGGGATTAGGGTTGTTGCTCAATAACAGGGATACACTTCCGTTGCTTAGCACAGGGACTAGAACAGATGTAGTTCAAGACAATTTTAGATACCTTTAAAATTATGTGTATTTGTATTTTATAGAATCTGAGCAAGGTAGAATTTGGTTTTTGAATTCTTAAATATAATAAACCTAAACAAATCAATGTAAGGCTGTAATTAATAAACAATTGCGTTCTATTTTTGAGTTTGCTATTGGTGTTTTTATCTTTTCTAATAAAATACTTTTGAGTGAAAGAATATTTGTGCTTTTTTGTTTCTCTTAGAAAACTTCATAGTTTTGAAAGCATTAGAGTTTTTTAGAATGTTTTCTGGTTTTCAGCAATAATTTGCATTAAAAAATTGTCTAAGAAACAATTTCTACTTTTCAGTCTTTCTGGCATATGCTCTACTGAAAAGAGAACAGAAAAATTAAGTTTATCAAAGAAGTTTACATAGTTTTGTTTCTTGTTTGCTGCTATAAAAGGTAAAAAAAAGGTTTTGATTTCCTCTATTCACTTACTAAGCAACAGTTTAAATTTCAAGGCTGTCTTTTGGGTAATTCTCTATGTTATCTCTTCAGATCTTATTTCTCTCCCCACAAAGGTAGAAACCTCAAGTTAAAACAGCTTATTTTTTTTTTTCTTTTTTCTCTGGCAAAAATTACCTTAGTCAAATAAGATATCTTGGAACTAGGCATTTTATTAAATTAGTCTACCTTAAAGATTTTTTAGTAATCTCTAAAAACTTGTCTGTAAAATACAGAAGCAATGAAAGATTGTTTACACAGCTGTCTACATGGGGGAGAAGGAGAGGGAAGACAGGTACAGCTGTGTCTATTATTATCTCTGCTTTGCTCTGGTGGAAAGTTGCTCTTCTCACACACTGTGGAATTTCTTATCAGTAGTCACTAAAAAAAACTTTAAAAACTCTACTTCTCTATTATGTTTATGCATGTACCTTAAAACAATTTTGGCTATTTAGATAAACAACTTCAAAAAACAGTTAGTAAGACCATCTTATGAATCTGTAAGATGATTTCTTTCTCTAATCAGAAGGTTGCAAAATTATAGTTTCTATAAATCAGGAGAGTTTTACTTCTTCCCTAGCTCTCCGAGAAATTGGTATTTTAAACTTTTCGTGGATTCAGTTGGGGGAGGTTTGGGCTCTTGCCCAAATTGTCTTTACTGTGTGAAATACACTTTATTTCTCTCCCTGGTAAGGCTGAATTTCACAAGGGAGGGTTTTTTACCTTTCTTTTTCTGTCCCTCTCCATTTGCCTCTACGTTTCGATTTGAATTTCTCTCCTTAGTTATTTTCTTGGTGGAGTCACCTGGTGGAAAAACCGTTTTTCTTGCTTTCAGGAGTAAATTATTAGGTTTTTCTACATTTTTCTGGCTTGGAGGCTTACATTTCAGTACACTGGCAGCCTGCTTATCTTTCTGGGTAGTTGCATTTCAGAGTTTGGTTCTTATGAGAATTATTGCATAGATTGTTGCCTCCCGCATGCTTCTAAATCTTTCAAAGTCTCACAGAGCAAGTGTCAGGCAGACACACGAAATGCAACTTAACGTAGTCATTTCAAAGTCTTATTTTTAGCACCATAACAGCACATGTCATAATTCAAAATCATTAACCTTGACACTTTGATGATTAAGGAGGGTTTTCCATGTAGATAAAACTACATTTTCATCTTTAGTTATATGTTGTCCCATTGTTATAATTTTTGTTCCTGATGGCTCCCCCCGATAGATTACCTAACAAGGGGTCGATAAAGTCTTAGATCCATATCTTTTTGGCAGAACTACCACTGCTCTCAAAGCTTCATCGGGCCGCCATCTCCCTCATGCATCAACCCACGAGTCCTCTCTCTCTAGGAGAGAAAATCTCTGCTCTTTCTCTCTCTAGGATACAAGTCACTGCTCCCCCCTCTCTCTCGGAGAGGAATCCCTTTGAACTCTTTCTCAGAGTCAGAGATGAATCTTCTTCAACGCTGCAATCACATCGGCATCACCAAATGTCGCTGTTAAATTGAGACGGCCAAAGCGACATAGAATCTTCTTCCAAAGCAGGGATAGGATAGCAAAAAGGCTGGAAGATTTTTATTGCAATAGATTGCAGACATTTACACTTTTCACACAACACACATGTCAACTTACTATTTGGTGCCCTCATGTAAACATACATCAGGCCATGCACATGTCAACCTACTATTGGTGCTAATATGCACACATACTTTAGGATTGGCTGCCAAATAGCAGAGTCATGCTGATACAGCTTTTGCCAAGTCATGATGATCTGGCTAAAGCAGAGTCACGGTGACTTGCAGAAAGTCCAGGAAGCCTGTTTTTGTACTTCCTGTCTTCCATCTTCTTACTTCCTTCTGACAGACATGTTGTTGACCTCGACACTTCCTGTCTTCCCTTTCCCATTTGCAGAAGCAAAACCACAGTAATGATGAAAGACAATTTGCAAAGCCACACTTTCACTTGTCCTTTCTGAAACCAAACTGTGGCTGTCCTTTGTCTACCAAACAGCAATCTTTGTTGTAGTCAGCAGAAAAGACAGATTCATCTGGTTAAAGTATTGTACAGGAACTGAATTTCACATGCAGATTTAATGCGTAATGGTGAGGAATTCCCTTATTTACTAACCATGAAGCTCTCACCTACTTCACACATCAGAAACAAACATGTAGCAGGTTATTTCAAGCCCCATTTGTTTAGGTTTTACAAAATGTCATCAGCAAAATTGTGTGCTATTCAAGCAAGGAGGAAAAAAAATACACTTTATGTTTTAATAATAAAGCTGGTTTGTCCCTGGATCTGTGCAAGATGCAAACAATATTGAATTACTGTGTATCCAAACACACATTTTTCTTGGAAATAAAATTAAATTATTAGGTTAGCTTCATTATTAAAGAACAAAAATTAAACAAGAAAAGCAAAACTGGAAGTGTAAAATTCCTATTGTTTTAATACTAAAGGCTGTCATTAACCCAAGTAGTCAGGTTTTTCCTGACATGAATGGTATGCCAACTGTATGATGTATCAAACCAGAGTGGTGTTGCAGTTACCCATAGGTCTTCTATTCTATGTTTTCTTTAACATGCTGTTGGTATTGACAGAGTTCCAAAATCTGAACTATGTCCTTGCTTTCCCATTCAGGAATCTGTATGGAGATGCTAGGAATAGTCTCCTAGCAATAGGATACTAAATAGTATCCTAGTTTTTCCCCTTTTGTTTCCCTCACTCAGCCTGCCCATTTTCACTGGTGCCACAGGACTTGGGAAGCTGTTCCACCAGTGTGACCTTTCTCCCCAGCATGCAGCCCTCCTCCTCTTTGTTGTTGCAGTGAAGAACAGTCATAGCACTCCTGCTGATTTTTTGAGAAGATGGGAAGATAAGATTCTTTGCCCCGTGGCAGGTACTTGCATAGCTGGTGTGATTTGAACGACAGACTCACAGATTCCCAAAGTCACTGAGGCTGGAAAAGACTTCTCAGATCATTAAATCCAACTGCTAACACAGCACTGCCAAGCCCCCAACTAAACCATGTCCCTATGTGCCACATCTACACATTTTTAAATCCCTCCAGTTATTTAAAGTCCTACCCAGGGCTCCATTCAGTTTGCTGTCACCTTCTCCAGGTGCCATCATCAGAGATGGGTTTTGTGCAGCTCAGCTCTTTAGTCTTCTCACCTGCACCCTGTTCCTACACTTGGTGGCACACAAAGCTGCAGCACTTACAAGGACTCGAGTTTGCATGTGGTTCTGCCTTTCCTATCTCAAAAATTCTTCCTTAGTGAACTGCAAAGAATGTATCTTATGACTGAGAATCTTTCTATATACTCTTAAACCTTCTCAGCAAGCCCACTGCTTGTTAAGAGCTGAACAGACACAAATGTTTGACATTGAAACACTGCCCTTGGAGATAGCACAGATTTATCTTATGTGTGGTCATGTTTGTCTTCTTTACAGATTAACATCCTGGGCAATTTTTCTTAGGTGAAGACAGGAATATTTAGTAGCAATGCTACTGAGCCTGGATTACCTGGCATGGCTTAAAATACATTTTGCTGGTTATGGGCTGTCTTGCCTAACCGGCAGTTCAGGAAAAATTGTAGTGAATCATCCCTTAAGTCAATGCATTCAGATGGAATCTTATACTTTAATGTCCTTGCTTGTTTAACTAAGGACTATTTAAGGAAGTTCATTCTTTTGCAGTAAAAATACGTGGAATTGTCCCATCACATTCCAAGAAAGTTTCAATTATTATTAATTGCATCTCCATCCCCAATATGCTATTAGACCTCTCATAAATTAGTACAATTCACTAATCTTCATACCTTTTGAAGGTGTAACCTGGATCCAGGCAAAACAGAACATGGAAAGCTCCTGCAGCCAGAGCTTCCAACATGCAGCCCACTGTTTACTGCCCACCTTCATGAGGTCATGAGAGAAATCCTTCAGTAAGCCCAAAAAGCCATCCTGGTCTCGCAGTGCTCTCAAATAACACAGAGCACGAAATGTCTGTGCCAGAGAGAAATTACAGAGGGGGACCATGTTCTGAAAAATAATTATATGGCACCGGGTAGTGCTGGAAGGTTAGGAGGAGGACAACCAGAACCCATTGTAATAACTTACTGCTCATTTTCAATATAGGAACTACTAATCTTAAAAGATGTTTAGTCTTCTGAAACAAGCTGCTGTGAGTCCCTCCTAGTCTAAATATGTTGTAGTAAACATTATTACCATTATATTAGTAATATTTTCAAGCCCCTTTTCTTCTTGTTGAAATATCTGAATTCCCTTGTGTGCTGG